CGCTCTTTAGCAGTTCTGCTTGAGTATAGACATCTGGCAGAAGCCTTGCACAACCATACTGATGTTGGACTTGGGCCTACAGTTCTGGCTTATCTATTCAAGAACCTGCATACTGCCACCCTGGAGAATCCGCTGAATCTGTCCGCTCCTGGTGCATTTTGGATGATCCATATCTGGTTGCAGGTCTTCTTCCCAGAACTGAGTTTCCCAGATATAGCTCTGCCTGAGGATCAGGTTCTGACTCAGCCATTGATGTCGGCAGAAGTGCCCAGGCATTCTATTGAAGAGTACCTGATGTTCTTCAGGCACTATAAGAAAAGATCAGCAGCTCAGTGGCAAGTGGTGATCAGGAGAACCTATCCTTGGTTCCAGCCTGGATACCGTTTGTTTGAGAAAGAGCCAGAAGAAGAAGCAGCCAGAATTGATTTCAGGAAGAAGTTCCTGAGTGTGACCCTCCCAAGAGACCTACCCCATGGAGGTGGGAAGCCTCCTAATTATCATTTGGGGGCAGAAGTGTATCACCCCAACTTTTGTGCAAGGCAGCTTGGCTGTCCACCACTTATTCCACTCAAATCCTATAAGAGCTACAATCGGGCTTCTTCTTGGAGGGACCTGGATGACCTGGAGGTGCATAAGGATGCCAGATGTGCAGTGAACAAGATAAACAACAATGTAGATGCCCTATATCCGTCATGGGAACCCAATTCCTGCAGTTCTGCCGATTTTGACGCCTGGTGGAAGGCTCGATTTCGAAGTCTGCCTGCTTCCAGTACTGCACTGCAGTGCTTTTTGATGGCTGGGATGGCTGGGCCGTTCGTACAGGAGAGGAGACTCACAAGTTTATGGTGCAGACCATAAAGGACATTAATACCCAAGTTCTGGAAGGTAGTGTCTCAATTCTGTCTATTCTGTTCTGTTTATTCTTTCCGTAATGGTGATATCTAACACTTTGTTCTGTCTGCAGTAGATCCTTCTTTGACACAAAATGTTGGTGGTCAGTCTGCCCAGGCTGGAGAAGTGTTTGGTAAATTTTCTATCCTTCTATTCCTTCTACCTTTTCCTGCTGGATTGATTTTTGAATTGTCATTTCTTATGCAGTTACTTCTGTCATAACTGCTGGGGACCTGGAGCTTCCTTCTGGAGAGGAAGAAGAAGAAGAAGATCAAGCAGAACAGACTCCCGTTGAGGCCACTCCTTCTGTCAGAAGGAAAAGAAAGGAAACTGCTCAACCAGTAACTTCAGGTGAATTTTGACAATTTTCTTAGTTCTGTTCTGTTCTGGCTTATGTTCTAATGGCCTATTTTCTTCTTATTTCAGCTGAAGGTCCTTCTCCTCCTCTTTCTAAGTCAAAAAGGCTTAGAAAGAGGACGATGGTGGAATATGTGGCCACAGAAGGAACTGCAGCAGCTCCCAATGCCACTTCAGACACGGATGAAGAGCTGAGAGAGGCTTTTGAGGCTGTGGAGCAAGAGAATGAGCTGGAAGAGTTGGAAGAAGTAGGAGAGGGGCCTCAAGAGAAGGCCAAGACAACGGAAGAAGAGGTGAGTCTTGTTTTTCTAGTTGTATCAGTTTCTGCTGTCTTTTATTCCTTCTGTCCTGACTTCTGTCCATCTGTAAGAGGAAATTCTTGTTGAGGTGATAGCAGAGAGTATTGCGCTGGCTAAAAAACAACAAGAAGATACAAGGGCAGGACTGACTAGCTCAAAGCTGGCCCTGTTTGAGGATCCAGAGGCAGGACACTCTACTGCTGTTCCAGCGGAATAGGCAGGACAATCTGTATTAGAACTTATGGACCAGGCTGTGGTGGTTCCAGAAGCTAGAGCAGAAGTGGATGCCTCTGCTCCTGAAGTTATGGTAATTTTTCTTCCAATTCTGCTCACATCTTTTGCAATTCTATTCTGTTTTCTGCTTCTTTAATCGCTATAGTCTTTCCAGGTAGAAGTGCCCAGATCTGTTGGTGCCCTGTCAGTGGTGACTAGCCCCTTGAAGCCCCCAATTGTTGCTGTAAGTGTTCATTATATTTTTGGATTTTTCTTTTCTGTTTCTGCCTGGTTTTGACTTATGTTTCCTTTTGCAGATGCCTATTCATTCCCTTCCAGGTTCATTTACCATGGCCTCCTTTGCTGATCCAGAACTGGCAAAATTTGAAGCCATGGACTTAGATGCCCAACTAGACAGATTGGAGATGCTTAGCTCTCTTGTAGGTAAGGCAAAATCCAAGGCAGTGAAGGAGGCTATGGAGAGGCTGAAGAGCTGGCAGTCTAATGAACTGGAGTTGGATGAGGATAGGGAAGCCATTGACCAGCTGATGAAGGATCTGGACCTGCTACACAGACAGAATGTGGCCCCCAAACCTATACTTTAGATGAGTCTTGGCCTGGCAAGAGATGTGCTCAACCTCCATGATCGTTATGAGGATCTCAAGCCCTCCTTCAAAACTTCTGAATTCTGCAAGGCTACTCATGAAGCCAACTTGGCTGATTTTGCAAAGCAGAAGGCAGAACTGGACCAGATGGTGGCAGGATACAAGGAGGCTAAGTCCACTACAGACAAGCTGGAAAAACAGATTGAGAAGCTGCAGAAGCAATTGGCAGAATGCAGGGAGGTGCAGAACAGGCTCGGGGCTGGACTAAGCTCCAAGACCAAGGCTACTTTCCTTATGCAGAGCATGGTTGCAGCTTCCAGGCCAGCCCTGGAGATTGCAGAGGCTTCAATTCATCAGGAGGTGCTGCTTCAAAAGGAACTCTCCATTAAGAAGACCAACTTGCAAGAAACCCTCAAGAAATTAGGGTTCTGATTCTGTTATTTATTTACCCTTTTAGTTTTTCCTCATGGCTATTTATTTTAAATAAAGTTTATTTTCCTTGTTGCAATTTTCGGGTGTTTAATTTCTTTTGATGAAATAAATAGAAGTACAAAAGGAACAAACTTTAAACAATTTAGAACAAAGATGACTCTAAACAGAAATAAAAGCTTTTTAGTGTTGTCCATTCTCTATCCCAGGATCTGTTTGTACAGCTTGTGAATCCCACATGGTTGGATAAAACTTCTTTAACCATTTGCCGTTGATTGGGGCTGCATGAATTTCTGCATCTCTATCTTGCAACCTGTATTCCCCCATTCCAAGGATCTGGTTGATTATGAAAGGGCCTTCCCATGTAGGTGACCACTTTCCATAACCAGCCACATGTGTTCCAAGGGGCAGAACTGCTTTCCAGACTATCTCTCCTTCCTCGAAACTCTTGTTCTTTACTTTTTTGTTGTAGACCCTTGACACAGCTTGCTTTCCTGCCAGTAGTTTATTGAGGGTGTCAATTCTGCTTGCATCCAATCCTTCTAGTTCTAGTAGCATGGTTTGAGAGTAATTTTCTCCAACCAGATCATGTTGGTGAGCAATTTTAAGGGACTGAACAGCTATCTTCATAGGCAGAATTGCATCATGGCCATAAGTTAGAGCATAGTGGGTCATGCCAGTTGCTTCTCTCTTTGAAGTTCTATATGCCCACAGAGTTTCTGATAGCTTCTCATGCCATTGCTTCGGATTTTTCTCAAGCATTTTTCTGAGAATGTTGATAATTACTTTGTTGCTTGATTTTGCCTGTCCATTAGCTTGAGCATAGTAGGGAGTGGATTGAAGCAGTCTGAATTTGAATGCCTCTGCCATATCCTGCATCTCTCCAAATATGAAAGAAGATCCCCTATCAGTTGTGATTGATTATGGAATGCCAAACCTCTGTATAATTTGTTCTTCTATGAAGGTGATGATCTCTTGAGATGTAGTGGATTTAACAGGCTTGGCTTCCACCCACTTGGTAAAATAGTCTGTAGCAATAATAATAAAACAGTGTTGCTGGCTACTGGCTGGATAGATCTTGCCAATGAGATCCATCGCCCATCTTCTAAAGGGCCATGACTTTACCACTGGATTCATAGGAGCTGAAAAAGCCTGCTGGATTTGGCCATGCCTTTGACAAGACTCACATCCCTTGGAATAGTCAATGCAATCTTTCATCATGGTTGGCCAGAAGTAGCCATACCTTCTGATCAACCAGCACATTTTCCTTCCACCTTGATGAGCTCCACAGATTCCTTCATGAGTTTCCCCAATGACTTTCATGTATTCTTTCTTTCCAAGGCACCTTAAAAGTACCTCATCCTTACTTTTTCGGACCAAATCTTCATTCCACATAAGGTAGTTCAGAGCCATGATTCTGACTCTCTTTTCAGAGGGCAGGGTTGGATATCGTAAGTAAGTCATGATAGTATTTCTTCAATCATCTTCAGTGATTACGGCAGAATTGACATATATTTCCATCCCCCTGGTCAGAACAGATGTTAGGCTTTTCTTCCCTATCTTGATGATTCTTTGTACACAATATTCAGGCATTTGTATGCCTGTTGCTACCTGAGCCAGTTCATTGGCTGCAAAGTTTTCTTCCCTTAGGATATGCTCCCAAGTAGCTTCTCTGAATTCTGTCAGAAGATTCCTAGTTGCCACTAGATACACAGCTAGAGAAGGACTAAGGCACTTGTATTCCCTAGCAATCTGTTTTAATACAAGCATCGAATCTCCCAAGATTTCCACAGATTGGATTCCTAGTTCCACCAGCATTTCTAATCCTATGATTAGAGCTTCATATTCTTCCCTGTTGTTGGTGCACTGGAAATCTAACTGGAAAGAATAACAGTGTCTGATTCCAAGTGGTTCTTCCAAAACAATCCCTGCCCCAGAAGCTATATCAGTTTTTGATCCATCAAAATACAGCTTCCAAGGTGTGAGATGAGCTAAATAGATAGGATTGTTAAGGCAAGTGTGAGCTCTAGTTAACAGATCTGCATTTGCTGTGTCCAAAGAATCCATGTTCTCAATCTCCTCCCCAGGATGATCTGCTAAGAAATCTGCCACATCCTGTCCTTTGACAGCCTTCTGAGGAACATATCTGAAGGGAAATTCAGTTAAGGCCAAGATCTATTTTCCAATTATGCCTCTCAACATTGGCATGGTTAGCATGTATTTAATTAGATCTGTCTTGGCAAATGATGTAGATGGTATATGGCAACATGTAGTGTCTGAGCTTTACAGCAGTGAAGTACAAGGCTAGGCAAAGTCTTTCTATTGCAAAATATTTTCTTTCTACTTCTGTCAGAGTTCTGCTCAGATAGTAGACTGCCTGTTTCTTTCCTTCTTTGTTATCTTGAACTAACAGACTTCCAATGGATACTTCTGATGCAGACACATAGAGCTTGAGTGGTCTACCTCTCTTTGGTGGGGACAGAACTGGTGGATTTGAGAGGTAATGCTTGATTTCCTCACAAGCTAGCTGGTGTCGTTCTTCCCACTTGAAGGTCTGTTCCTGCTTTAATCTTAACAAAGAGGAGAAAGGCTGTACCTTTCCTGTAGAATTAGATATGAATCTCCTTAGAAAATTAATCTTTCCTAGGAGACTTTGTAGTTCTTTCTTGTTCCGAGGTGGCAGTGCTTCAATGATGGATTTTGCTTTGTTCTTGTCAATCTCTATGCCTCTTTGGTGGACCAAGAATCCTAGGAAATTTCATGCTTGAACTCCAAAAACGCATTTCTTGGGGTTCATTTTTAGTTTATGTTGCCTCATTCTTAGGAATGCCTTTCTCAGATTTGATATATGGTTTCCCTCATCTGGGGATTTAATCACTACATCATCAATATATACTTCCAAAAAATGCCCTATCATATCATGAAAAACAGAATTCATTGCTCTTTGATAAGTGGCTCCCGCATTCCTTAAACCAAAAGGCATTACAATGTACTCAAAAGCACCTATATCTCCTGGGCACATGAAAGCTGTTTTGTGGATATCTTGTTCTGCCACCATGATCTGATTGTAACCTGCATTGCCATCCATAAAAGATAGCATCTGGTTGTGAGAAGCTCCATCTACTAGCATGTCTGCCTTTGGCATAGTGTACTCATCCTTGGGAGAAGCTTCATTCAGATTTCTGTAATCCACATAGATTACTGCCCCGGTTTTTCTTTTCAGAACAAGTACAATATTAGCTAGCTAATCAACATAGATGGCTGGTTTGATGAATCCTGCCTTGAGCAACCTTTCAATTTCTTCTTTGACCTTCAGTTCTGCGTCCATGGACATTCTTCTTCTGGCATGTTTGACTGGAAGGTATCCCTCTTTGATTGGCAGCTTGTGCTCCACCAATTCCCTGTCTAATCCTGGCATTTCATGATGATGCCAAGGAAAACAATCTCTGAACTTCTGCAAAAGGGCAATGAGCTCACTCTTAAGTGCTTCTTTCAATAGTGTACTAATAAAAGTAGGCCTTGGATCCTCTTCTGTCCCTAAGTTTATTTCCTGTAAAGGATCCTCCACTTCTGGCAGAGAGTCATCTAGTGCTGCTGGCGCAAAATCTAATACTTCCTACTGTAACTCTTCTTCCTCCTAGTCTTCCGTGCTTTCATGAGTGAATTCTGCCATATTGATGGTTGGATTCTGCATGAAAAGCTTCCTTTCCTCCCAGTATATCAACAATCTTTTTGTAATGGATCGGATTGTTACAGCTCGATCCTTCTCCTGTTGATTGGGGCTAAACATCAGAGTTCTGAAAGTTTAGAACAAAAGGTCTATTCAGTCCTCTAAGGAACTGGTTAGACCATATTCAATGAGCCTCTGGGCTGTGACACCATGGGGGCGGCCGTTCTGGTTGACTCCAAGGAAGGTGAAAGGACCGAGGTCATCATGATAGTACTTTGCCTCAAAACACATGGCAGAAGGCAGAAATAGCCGTGGATTGGCCTCTACTATCTCCATGTAACCCTCTTCATTCCACAGAGCTAATTGCTGGTGAAGAGCAGAGGGAACACACAGACTCGAATCCAGTCCCTGCCAAGCAGTGCATTATAGGTGGTGGAAGTGGTGTCTACCACAAAGAATGCATTCTTCAACTCTTTGCTTCCAACTATGACATCCACATCTAGGATCCCATGAGTTTTGGTGATGCCCCCTGCAAAGTTGGTGACGGTTAAGTGTGTTGGGATCAAGTCCTTCTCTGTTCTGCCCATTTTGCTCAGCATTCTGTAAGGCAGAAGATTAATGGCTGCACCTCCATCTACCATGACTTTGGGAATAGGAACACCTCCAAAATTTGCTGTTATAAACAAAGCTCTAAGATGATTGGCCATCTCCTTGGTTGGTTTGGAGAAACAAAGTTGTTCTGCAGTTAGTTTGTTGGTAGTTCCGCCTGTCCTGGGACTGCCTGCTCGCTGTTCTGGTACTTCCTCTGCTTCTGCTAACATGCATTCAAAACTTTCCTAGGAGAAAACATCTCCCTTCAGAGTGCTTTCTTATCCTTCTGCAGCTCTGAACTTTTCTGGCAGAATAAACACCATGTTGATGCCCAAATCACCCTGCAACAGGTTTTCCAATTCTGCACCAAAAGCTTCAGCTTCAGCATCTAATTCCCCATCATATTCCATATGTTCCTCCCCGAATCCTTCTGTCCAGTCTTCCTGTTCTCCTGTTTCGAGGAGTGCATTCTGGTCATCTGCAGATGGCTCATAATCTAGCTGCTGCTTATTTTCCTCAGTCCAGTCTTCTTGCCCTTCTACTGGAATTGGTTCAGATTCTCCTTGTATCTGTGAAGGTTTAAACTGATTGTCTAAGGATAAAGCAAGATGGATAGAAAGCTTAACTGGAGATCCATCTTTCAACATTTTCTATGGCTGGATTACTTGTTCTGCTTGGGAAGGGATTTCCGGATCTTTCCCTTTTCTGTCAAAAGTGGTCTCCGGAGGTACCTGTGCATCACTTTTGTTGCCTTTGAACCCTCCTGTTTTGGGTTCTGGTTAATTTCATAGTTGGTCTGCCACTTTTCCCGACAGTATACCACCTTCCTTCTATGATAGCAGCCAGAGGTTTCTCATTCCCGGGCATCTTGATTGATATTTCCTTCTTGGGCTGCTCTGTCATCCTCCTGCTGTGCTGGGCTGGTCTGGGATACTCCTTCCGCCTAGCTCTATCTCAGGATGAGGTTCCAATCCTGTCAAAAACACTCGGAATGGGCTGACTCTGCATGTCCAGGACCACTTCTAGCTCAGCTTCACATTTGCACTTGCTGCAGAGCACTACTCCAACTGAGATAGTTGCTTTTGGCCTTTCAATAGTTTCCCTTGAAACCATTCTGCCTCTGCTGGAACTGGCTTCTGTGGTTGGCCTGCTTCTCTTCTGTTCTGGCCAATTTAAGTTGACCATGTTGACTTGTGGTTGGGGAAAAGGATCTGTTGTGACTGAAGGAGATTTCTCCGCCAGTTTCAACCTTCCTGTTGTTATTCCTTCCTATATAACATCTCTGAAAACTACACAACTATTGGTAGAATGGTTCCAAGAGTTGTGCTACCTGCAATACTGCCTGCCTTGAGCTCTTCTGGCTTGGGCATCCTGTGGGGTGTCTCTATTGCCTTTTGCAGCAACATTTCATCAAATAAAGCATCCATCTTGGTTAGATCAAATGAATAAACCTTGTTTTGTGTTGGTTTGCTCGGAACAAACCCTCCTGTGAAAGGTGGCGGCTTCTGATCCTTTGGTAGCTTAATAAGGGCCTTGCAGCTGATGGGATGTTTCAATTTTGCCATTTCTGCTACTGCAACTTCTCCATCTTATGAGCATTCTACTTTCT